GCTCATCCCCACTCACGACGAGCAGGGCCGGCCCATCCCCGAGTGGAAGCGCCAGGTGATGGTGCGCAAGCTGCAGCTGAAGATGCAGGAGGAAGAGGAGCAGAGGCGGAAGGTGGGCGGGGTGGGGCTTCCCAGAGGGTCCGGGGGTCTGCACCTGGGCCCTGAGCCCATCCCCAGCTCCATCCCCCAACATTCCCCGCCCTTTCAGTATCAGGAGGCTCCCATTACCTCTGGGAAAAAGCAGAGTTGGACCACCTCCCCACTTCTAGTGGCCACCCCCCTACCCCCTACCCCCAGCAGCCTGTCCTTTAATGAGATGGCAGTGTTTCTCACAGTCTAATATGCCTTCAAATCGTCTGTGATCTTGTTAAAATGCCTAGTTCTGATTCAGGTGCTCTGGGTGGGGCTGGGATTCTGCACTTCCAACAAGCACCTGGGGAGGCTGACCATGCTGATCCAGGGACCACATCAGGAGACTTTCGGTCATAGTCAGACTGGCCTGGGCTCTTTCCCTGCACTGACACTTCCCAGACACTGTTACTGAGCCTTATCCAGCCTCAGTTTTCTCATCTGTCAGAGGCGTAGACTGTCACTGGCTGGCAGGATAGTTTGCCATTGATCTGCTCAACAGATGTTCCCTGGGTGCCATCTATGTGCCACACACTGTTGTGGCCTCTGAGGATTTTCAGTGAATATATCAGGGCCTGCTCTCAAGGTGGCTGCTGGAGGGTGATGGGGCGGGGGGCGGTGGCCAACCAACAAGCAAGCACAGCACCTTAGTAGAGTGGTAAGTGCCCCCGGGGAGAAGACACAGGGCAATGTGAGAGAGTGAGCAAACGGGGAGGTCCTCTGATGGGGAGGGCAGAGGTCTGGGACAGCCCTACACCGACCATCCTATTTGGATTTGGGGTGGTGTTAGGGAAGGAGAACGTGATATCTAAAGTAGACTTGGAAGATGAGGAAGAGGTGGACAGGGGAAAGAGTAGGGCAAAGAGCGAGCAGGAAGGATGGGAGGTGTGGGAGTCAGAGTAGGCGGTGGCTCTGGGACTGTACTATCGAAGGGGCGGAGCTGGAGATGTCAGTGGAGGTCAGATCACTAAGGCCTGGCCTTGAAGAAAATGGACTTTCTCCTGGAGCAATGGAAAGTCTGGGGGTGGGGTCCAGCAGAGAAGTAGCATCATCATATTTGTATGTGGAAAATGGACTGTAGTGGGCCAGGATGAATTGGGAGGCCTGTGAGATGAGGGCAGCTCCCCAGCCCCTCAAGGCTGGAAAAGCCCGGCACTGAAGTGAGGAATAGATGAGACTCTAAGTGGTGCCTGGCAAGCCTAGCTCTACACATGGTACTATTATTCCAGGAGTGAGAGGGGGTGGGAATAGGAGTGGAAGCCCCAGCTTCAGCCTCTTTAAGAGCCTCTCATCCAGCAGTAAAACTGACAGCATGGACAGGGAGAGTTTGGGCTGCAGGGAAGTTAGATTAGGGGTCATCTGTCTGGGGTGAGGAGAGGCCTCGCTGGGATCTGGCAGATCTTGGACAGGGAGGGAGAGGGCTGCCGTGTGTCGCAGCTTCAACGCCTTTTGCATGTTCCTTCGGTGGTGTAATGAGCGACCAAGCCAGGTGTGGAGACCCCATCTGCCGGCCCTGCCTCTGCAACAGCGCCCAAAGATCGGCTCTGTCCCCGCCAGCGACCAACGTGGACACTGCCCAGCTCCTGGAGCGGCTGCCTGGGCGGAGGCCTCGCTCCAGTGTAATCGCCTGACGGCCAGGCGCAGCCCGACCCTGCAAACGCAGCCCCGCGGAGCCATTACACCACCCGGGACATGCAAAGGGTGCCCCCGGCGGCCGCTGCGGGAGCCGGGCCTGAGGGAGACGCACCTCCCTCCCCTCTCTTGTCTTCCCCGCCTTAGCTGATGGCCGCCAGCTCGTGCTGCTACCCCCGCGAGGGCTGGAGGTACTCCCGCGAGCACAACGGCATCCTTGGGCCCTTCGGCGAACTCATGACCGAGGACGACATCCTCCGCATCGAGCAGCAAATCGAGAACCTGCAAGTGCTGCACAAGGCTCAGAAGCTGGAGGCGCGGCTGGTGCAGCTGGAGCTGGAGCTGGAGCAGCTGCTGCCCATCTCGGCTGCCCTGTCGGCGCCGCGCTTCACCGTCGATCCGCGCCGAATGCACGGCCGCGCCGCCAGCCTGCCCGCCTGGTGCAGCAAGATCTCCACGCTGCTCAAGAGCATGGCCACGCTGCTGGCCGCGCTGGGCGGACGGCCGGCGCACTTGGCCGAACTACTGGCCGCGGACACAGGCCAGCCGCTAGCGCCGCTGTCGGACGCCCCCTGGCGGCCTGGCCCGCTCTGTTTGGGCCGCTCGCATTCGCTCAGCTGGTGCCGCGAGGCCGTGGCGCGCGAGATCTTCGAGTGCGGCGTCTCGGTGCAGCAGCTCCGCGCCACCTACGAGCGGCACGCCCAGGGCCCGGCCCCCGCGCGTGGCCCGCGCCGAAAGCTGTCTCTGCCCGCCGGCGCCCCGGGCCGCGAACCTATCCTCGAAGAGGACTATGTGGCGGCTGGCCCCGGCAAGTCTATCGCCGCCGCAGCCGCCAACGGCCTGCCGGCCGCAGGGGAGCCCCTGGGCGTCCTGGGCCCGCCCGAGGCGCCGGGCCGCCAGGCGGCGCTGCCCGAGCTCGGACAGCCGGCGCGCAGGCCGTCGTTCTCCACCGAGCTGTGCGGCGTCCAGGACTACATTGACATGCGCAAGGAGCGCATCGTCTACCTCTTCTTGGAGCACTGGCGCAAGTGGACCTTCCGTGGCCCCGGGCGCCATGCCCAGGTGCGCCTGCGCAGACTGCTGCCCCGCGTGGTGGCCGCCGGCGCCCGCCCAGGCCCCGAGGCCGCGGACGCTCCCCCGCCGCCGGCGGGCGACGGCCCGGATGAGCGGCTGTTGCGCCTGCTGAAGCAGCGTCAGGTGGTGGGCAAGCTGCTGGGCCACTGGCGGAGCCTGCTGCGGCGGGTGCCGGCCCCCCAGCCCCGCGGCCCCGGTCTGGCGCATGGCTTGTACTGGCCCGAGCACTTTCTTCCGCCCCTCGACGGCGGCGCGCCCCCGCGCTACGACAGCCTCACCCTCGACCTTTTTATGCTCGGCTATTTCCAGCTGCTCGAAATGGGCCTGACCCGCGAGGAGCGCAAGTTCCGCCACCTGCTGTGCTATGAGATGTTCGACCGGCTGGGCAGCCACCCGTGGGAGCTCATCCGTCTTTTCCACCGTGTGGTGCTCGAGGAGGTGGAGGCCGGCCGGCGCGACTGGAGCGACGGCTTCGAGGACCTCAAGCGCCAGTTCTTCGGAGATACTCCGGAGGCTCAACCGGCCCAGGAGGAGGAGGTGGAGGAACAAGAGGAAGGGACAGAAGAGGAGAGGGAGCCAACCGAAGAGGCCGCTCCAGCTCAGAGGGTGGACTGGCCAGAGGAGCAGCCTGAGGCCTCCTCCCCTGCGCCACATCCCCCACCCCAACCAGGCGAGCCTCCGCCTACGTCAGACCCTCCTAGTTATGAAGCCCCTGTCGAAGACCCCCTGGAGCTGGTATCTGAGATGGGCGAGTTCAGCAATGAGGACATCTGCCGATATATTGACCGCAGCTTCTCCTTCTGGAAGGAGAAGGAGGCAGAGCTTTTTGACATCTGAGCTGTAGAATTCGGAATTTACCCTCAATCTCACCCTGGGCCTCCAGAGGCCAGAAGCTGGCAGGAAGAAGCTCGGACAGGACGGATGTATGGCCTTGAAAAACCCAGAGTGTCCAGGACCAGGCTGCCTCAGCCTTTGAGATCCCATCGTGGCCAGATGTGGGGCGTTGGCCAGAATGGGCAGGGCATGGAGCGGATCAAACCAGGTGTCCCCCTCTGGGTCTGCAGCGTTTCCTGGCTCTGAGTGGAGCCAGGTGAAAGCAGCAGCCCCTCTGAGTGAGGGACTGTGGGTCCGCCTTGGAGCAGTGTGGCTCTTCCTCGCTTTGGTTTTTCACTGGCTTTCACAGCTACCTCTTAGGCTGGGGTCGAGGGAGCCGCGTATGCAGTGTTCCTGTGACGTGTGCAGGCCCTTTCTCCTCTGTAATATGCAACTAATAAATGTCTTTGCTGTAAGCCGCCTGTATTGGATGCCCCTCCCCACATCATTGCAGCTGCACAGTTGTAGAGCTGGTGTCTGCCCCCTGCGGATAGGACAGGTGTGGGCCAGAAGGTCCTTCCCAGAACCAGGGGCCAGTCTGAGCCTCTCTGAGCTGGCAGGATCTGTGGGGGCCCAAGTATGAATCTGCCTAGAGATTTCACATCATGGGCCTGGGGCCATCTGTCCACCTACTGTATTTGGGGACTCTCCTCCTCTGCTCCTCTCCTACACCTCTTACACTCAGCTTTGACCTCTCTGGCACTGCCTCTGGGACACAGGGGCCTGAGTTTGGTGTCTTCACCCATTTACCCTATAGAACAGCATCAAAAGTTTCTCTTCCTGTGACACATCTGTGTCCTGTTGTCCTGGACTCATGAAGGCCCCCTGTGTGGGGATGCACTCCCTCCAGCCCCCATCACCCAGCCCACGCTGGCCCTGAAGCTTTGTGCTGTGTTTCAGGAGGAGGAGGAGGAGGCCTGGCTGGCCAGCATGCCTGCCTGGAGGCGGGACATCCTGCGGAAGAAGCTGGAAGAGGAGAGGTGAGCTGGGGGAGATGTGGGGCTTGGCCAGGTGTCTTGATTGTGTCCCTGAGATGGTGGCACCAACTAACGCTGTCTCTTTTTCCTTCCAGGGAGCAGAAGCGGTGAGTGTGGGGCTGGGTTCCACCTGTGTCCCCTCCCCCACCCAGAGTCCTTTTGCCCCTTCACCCAACCCATCCCCTTGTCACTCAGCTCTGTTAGCCCAGCCTCTTTGCTCCCAATAATGGCACAAGACCCCCTCCCCCAATAACTTAGCCACTGTCCCCCAGAGTCCAGCTTTTACACTGTAATAACCTTGTCCCCAATTTGCCAGCCCCCATCTCCCAGTAACCTAATCTTTCTCCCTGCAGTTAACCCAACCTTAGTATCCATAATCTAGAGCATCTGTCCCTGAAAACTTTAGTTTCTGCCCCTAGTCTGGCAGTGTCCAAGAGATGTATAATTTGAGCCATGCATATAACGTTAAGTTTTCTAGCAGCCACAGTGAAAGAAAAAAACATGGGTGAACTTAATGGTATATTTTATTTAACCCAGTATATCCAAATTCAATCATATGTTTAATATATAATTATAAAATTATTAATGAGATATTTTACAATCTTCTTTAAAACTAAATCTGTGAGATGTGTGCATTTTACATCTACAGTGCAGCTCAATCCTAACATTCAAATGCTTAATCGCCACATATACTTAGTGTCAACCTCAGCAGTGCAGACCTTGCCATGTTCTAATGACCTGTCCCTATCTACCCAGCCCCTGTCTCCCAGTAATGTGGTCCCTCTGCCCCGCAGCAGCCCAACCCCAGTCCCCAGTAACTCAGGTCCTAGCCCCAATAAGTTTCTCCCCTGCCCAAGGAACACCCCCTCTCCAACCTTTGCCACACTGTGACCCAGCCCCTCTGTTTCCAGTAACAGCCCCAGCCAGCAATAACCCAGCCAGCTCACCCAGCTCCTATGTGTCCCCCAGTGACTTTGATCCACCCCAGTCAAGCCCCTCTGTCCCCAGCAATCCTGCCCACGTGCCTCCTAACCCAAACCATGTCCCTAATCACCTAGCCCTTCTGTCCCTCCAAGCCACTGCCCTGCCCACCACTAACTAGTCCCCCCGTCCTCAGTAACCCATTCCTTGCCAACAGTGACCCTTCACGGTGCCCCCTCTCACCCTTGCCCCGGGTTCTGCCCCTTCCCCCACGTCTAGGAAAGAGGAGGAGCAAAAGAAGCAGGAGGAGATGCAGCGGGAGAAAGAGCAGTCGGAGAAGCTGCGAACGCTCGGCTACGACGAGAGCAAGCTGGCGCCCTGGCAGCGACAGATCATCCTGAAGAAGGGGGACATCGCTAAGTACTAGATGCCGTCCTTCTGCTCGCAGCCTCGCGAGCTTCGGGGGTCCCCAGCCCCCGCCCTGGCCTACCCGGCCCGGGCGGAGGGGCTGGGAGCCGCGCCGCCCTTCCCTCCCGCGCTGGAACCCTTCTTGACCCTTTTTCCCTGGATCCCCGCATCCCTAGCCCCGGCGAGCTGGAGCGCGCCCGCCGCCGCAGTCGCCCAGAAAAAGTGTCCGAGCTGTTGACGCAAAAACATGCTGCTTATTTGCATGCCTACTTACATACATTTGCATGCTCGTTGAATGTCAAAGTGTGCAGAGCTCTCCCCGGCCCCGTGGGTGGTGACTTTTCCTGCCGAGCGCGCGCCGGGCTGCCGCCCCCTCCCTCGCACCCCGGAACCCGCGTCGCTGGCGCATCCTGCATCCTGGGCGGAGGCAGGCCCCGCGCTCCGGGAAGGGGTTTTCCTCCCTCTCTGACCCAGATTTGCGCCCGGCCCAGACCCGGCCGCGTTTCCCATCCCCGCCGAGGATTTCCTTTCAGTCATTTGTTTACCAGAACGATGAAAACTGCAAACTGCCCGTGAGGACGGAGTTGCGGCTCTGGGCGCCCCACCTCTGCCCCCACCCACCTCCAGTTAAGTCTGCGCGCCTGTCCCCAGCCAGGCCCCGCACTCCCCCGACCCTTTCACTGCCCTGGTGGAGTGAGTGGAGGATGAAGGACCCTGAACCTGTCTCCAACCGCTGCCTCCTTGGTCCCCGCGCCCCTGCCATCTCACACCCCTATTAAAGCTCTCTCAGCCGCCCGGGTCTCAAGTTCACTCTCGCTCACAGTCACCGCGACTTCCTCTCCTCGGGGTAACCGGCCCACAGCAGTTTGGGAGGGGCAGGCTTGGGCTAAGGACCACACTGGTCTCCACCGTGGGTGGACTGTGGGGTGGCAAGACTTCTGGCTGTTTCGATGCCCTCAGGAAACCAAGCCTGGGCCATTTAACACTCCTAGCCCCGCGGAAACACCAAGCAGCAGCTTTTCTTCATAGATTTAATACCAAGATCTCAGCCAAACTCAGGCCGAGAAACAGCTGAGCAATCTCTAGATCCCCTCCTGATATGTGTCTTTGATGCTTCCTCGCCTTAACTGGAGCCCTGGGGGCGCGCAAGGGTGAGGCTGGCCGGCGCTGCTACGCAGAGCCATGCCAGGAGCTTAATAAGTGACATAAAATGTCTACACGCATAAGTAACCGTACTTAGGGCTTCTGCAAGGGCCATCAGAGCCTCGGGGTGGGGGGTTGGTCTCCAGCATCACGGGCCCCGCTGCAAGCGACTCCGCAGGTCCTCGGCGCAGCCGTCCAGGCCCAT